TTTCCCCGTTTAGTGCGACTGTGTGTAGCCAGACTGGGCGGCGAGGTCTAGTCCGCGTGTGCCTGTGCGTGTGCGAGAGAGAGAGAGAGAGAGAGAGAGAGAGAGACTGGCTGACTGACTCGAGCGAGCGTGAGATTCCTCTTTATTTTATCGTTCCTGAACCAGAGTGAACCAAAGAATGGAGAAGCCGGGAAGGGGGGGGGGAAGAGGGAGAAGGAAAGGCGCGCGCGCACAGGCACACACACACACGCATAGATCACACGCATGCACACTCACACACGGCGTCTAGGTGGGCATGGGGAGTAAGGGGACGCTGAAAACTCTGTCGCTGACTCCCCTCCGACGGCGTGTCCCCATTTTTCCTCCTTTTAAAAACCGGGGAGGGGGTCCGAGCGATTCTTGACGAATAGATAGATGGAGGGATTGATCTATTTAGAAAACAGCCCCTCGCCAAAGGTGTCGATTTTTATGCTCTCTTGCTGTGAAGGGGCGCGTGTCTTTTGGCTCTCCTCGATAACGCCCCCGCCTCGTAGAAAAACACCGGAGAGGGTTTCTTTTTTTTCCCCCACCCCAAGAAAAGAGGAGAGGTGGGGGCGGAAGGAAAGGCATGGCGCGGCGTGGCAAAGAAAGGCCAGCATCTTGGTCGCCCCGGCTAGATGCTGTCCCAGGAACAAAACGGGCCGCCGAGATGTGCCGCGCTCGCTCGCTCGCTTGCTTACGCACTGGCGTACTTTTTAGTTCAGGGGGGTAGGAAAATAACGGATCCCGCCTGTTTATTCAAGCCCTAGGAGCTGATCGCATAACTTTTTTTTTTTAAAAAAGTGTTGCGTTTGTGTTGGTCTTAAGTTGGAGAAGGAAGTTTTGTGTATGTGGGGTTTTTTAAAAAAAAATCCCTCAGAAGTGGGTGGGATTTGCTGGGATGTGTTGATGTGTTGGGATGTGGAGAGGAGGAGAGAAAAACTTGGAAGTTATTATTGATCTGGAGGCTGGATGGAGTTGCTGGAGCTGGAGCCCCTGTGTTGGAATGTGGGAGGGTGCCAGTGGTGCTGAAGCAGGAGATCCAAGTCCATCATATTTATGACGCACAACCCACCACGCAGAGCTTCACAAAAGCTTCTTCTTTTTCTTCTTCTTCTTTTTTTTGGAAGGAGGGGTGGGGTGGGCTGATACTTGAAAGCTGTTTTGAAAGTTAAGGGGTGCCATGAGGAGGCAGTGAAGAAAAAAGGGGGATGGGGGGGTGGAAAGACGCCAAAGTCTTCAGGAACATATACACAGGGATCAGCCTTAAGGAGGAAAGAGCAAAGGCCCTGAAGGGAGGACAAAGGGCAGCTTGTGAGAATGTGGCAGGCCACAGGAATGTCCTGGGGAGAGTCAGTCTGTGCTGCCTCCCTCTTTCGGCCCAGTGGTCTTGACATGCAGGCCTCCCACAGTCACCCTGCTCTACTTCGCTTGGGACCGTGTCACCCGCCCTTCAAAATGACACTGCCAGGAGCAATCTGTGCGTGGAGATCTCCCATCTCCAGGAATTCCTCGGCGGATACTCAGACTGACACTTTGCTTCATTTTTGTTTTAAAATTTCTTGCCACATTTCTTTCTCTCTCATTTTCCCCAACACCTCTAGGATTTACCCCAGTTCATACTGACTCCCCTAACAATCAACAGGCAGTTGACCTGTGTTGTCACAACAGGGCCTGGTCCTTCCACCACATCCCTAGTTCACCTCTACCTCTTGGCACGTGTTAAATGGAAACTGCCCCCCCCCCATTAGACTTTGCGGTTTTTGCATGTCACTTTGCTAAGACAAGAAAGCCTGCTTTAGCTCTGCTGCTGCATTTAATAATATAGTGTAGGTTACCAAAGAGGAGATTTTAATTTTTTTGGTCAAGGTGGATTAGAAACTGAAGATAGGGTGGAGGATATGGCTGATGTTTCACAGTGGAGTGTAGAGAGATCCTACTTGAAGTTTTAGAAAGTTGCCCTGTGAATACAAGAATGTGAGTTCAGGATGTGACTGAATCAATTAGCTGAATTACATAAAAGTTGTAGGCCTATTTTCATAAGGTGACCCAAGCTACATTTTGGGGAAGTTGAAGCCAATGTTACCACACTGTTAGAGAACATTGAGGTCACTACAGTAAGGATTTGTTTGACTAAGGTATAAACTTATTCCAAAAGTGACCTGTTAGTGACCTGATCTAAAGTTTGAAAGAATGTGGGTCTTCCTTTTGACTTGGTGCTTTTTTTAATGTGATCCTCTAGATCTCTTCAAATTTGCTGCTTTACATTCAATTTTGACATTACAGTGTGTAATTTTTGGTTGACTGAAGTTTGCAGAGTTCAATAATGCTTTCGCTTGACACTTTATAAAGATCAAATTTGGTATTCTTCAGCTATCTTTTAAAATGACTTAACAATAAAATGTTGTTGATTGTGCATATGTTTATTTTCTGATAGATTTCCTAAATAGGTTTAATTTACATGCATGCAGGTTTTTATGGTCAATGCATAAAGCCATCAGTTGATAATATTTATGAGACAAGATAGAGCTGAAAAACCTGCACATTATTACACTTGTGAACCTTTTAATGCCAAGTAAGCACACCAAATTCAATGATAAATGATATTACATGGTTCCCCCAATAGTATTAAAATGATAATAATAATCTGTTTTCTTTCCCATGGAACCAAAATATTTATTTTCCTGGAGGCTTTCTGTAAACAGAAATACATATTAAAATAAACATATAATATCCAGTTTCTGTGTGGTCATATAAATCAGTGTTTGGTCTGTACCAGCCACCCGTGGTCAGAAGGAAATATCCTAATATCAGAGGGACTGTCATTGACAGTTAGTATTGATCTAAACCAGCAATAGCTTATTAATATGCATAGCTTAAACATTCCAATACATTATTCTATCCATTATCTCCCTTAATTACAACATATGCTAATACTATCTATAATGATTGATACAATATTTAGGATGTTGCTGTGTAGATTAAGATTTCTACACTTCTGTTTTAAAAACACAGCAGGTTTTTTTCCCTTCAATGATTTCCATCTTTGAGCTGTTTGGCCTTATTTGATGGAAGATGTGAGTTCAGAGTATTGATTTGCAGTTGGGAAGCTTAAATACTCCAAATATCTTTTGTAAATCACACATATATTTTAAATTAAAAAAAAAACACCAGGGGATGCAGGTAGAACTGCAAATATGTGGTCTACCTTAATGAAGGCAGTATAATGCTAATTTATAGCCCAGTTTCCTCATTGTGGCTATTGAAAAGTAAAGTTCTGTTCTTTGTAATGGGACTTGCTCTGTGTGTCTGTTTAGGATTGTAAGTTTAAATTCTTTGCTTCCTCACAAATGAATAATGGTCAGATTATTAATGACTGATATGAACTTTTAGAGTCAAACTAGTGGTGTGAGTTACTTTGTAAAAGCTCTCTGAAACAATCACTGTTGATGGGACAACAACAAAAACTACAATGTAGACTTAATGGTACACAAAGAAGTATTTTGAATGGGGTGTAATGTAATGTGGGACTAGTGTCTGGTTTAAGTAAAATGATTGCGGAATAAATCTCTTGAGGATGTTGTCTACATAGCTAGTCTAGGATGCTATCTACATACAGTAGTCAGCTAGTCTTGTCGCTGTAACAGAGGAAAGGATTCCTAACTAAGGCATTTTAATTTTGTTAC